GGGGGGGGGAGAACCACCAAGAGGGGTGAATGCATCTGCAGGACAGGTCTAGTCCAGCATCTCTGTTCAGAGAGATTGTGTTGCCCATAAAGAGTTAGCAGCTCTTGCAATTACATTGGCACACCACCTTGGAGAGGTGAGAAGTAGCAGTCTGTAGTTAATTTGCCAACAACTGGTGTTTTAGAAGCAGCCTGGATTTTATTAAAGGCCTTGGCTCAGGACAGCAAACAAGACTGGTTCAAAGCCTGTCTTTAATATCAAGTATCAAGGTTTCTGACTGTCTGAAAGAAAGACTCTTGGAAAGGACTGGGTTACTACAGACCATTGAAAAACCATGAGTAAGATTTCTCAATTAGGAATGTAATGCTAATTAGTCTTTTTGGGTCAGCCTGGGTGGGTTGGCTCATTAGCAAAAGTAATATACCCATGTGATTGGCCTGGAGTGTGGGTGAGGTTCCTGGAAGCACCAGGTGATATCTGGTGAAAAAAAGGATGTGTGGGTGGTAAAATCAGGACAGCTGCAGCCAGTGACTAGAGAGGGGGAAATACATCTACAGAAAATGCACAAAAAAGGCTCTAAACTTTCAGAACAGTTGAGGTGAGGATTAGCAAGGTTTATTGAAAGCTTAATTTAGGATAAAATAATTTCTTTCTAAGATGGAGAGATATGCAGATTGCATAAGTACTGATGTTGTCATGTCAAATCAGTTAGGTGGTGTGTGCGATAAAGCCCAAGACCATTTCAGTGCAAGAACAAATGGCAGATTTGCTTCTCCCTCAAGGCACGGAGGAGACAGAGGCCCTGCAGATGTTGTCTTAACATTAAAGTAGATGTGAATTTAAACTGCCAGCCTGTGTTTTCAGTTTCTAGATACGTGATGAGTTCTACATAATCTTTTACTTTTGTTTCAGTAGAAGAATGTCAACACTCATATCCTCCCTAGTCATCCTCTGCCACTGCAGAGAATGATACAGATTGGTTTGTGGCCCTTTGTAAGGCTAGGAACTCTATCACATGGCAATCATGGTAATGTTGCTTATAAAATATTATACATGCTTTCTAACAAAAGTCACATGATCATTTTGGTCGTCCAGAAAGAAACTCTTGGAGGTCCTTAAGCCCAAGTACGTGTACTTTCCCTTTAAGGGCGCGCTCCATGCGTCATGCTACCACCAAAGGAGACACAGGCGCTCTCTGTAATGCAGAGCACCCAAACGGCCTAAAGGCATACAGAGGAAGGTGCCAGGTGCATCAGAACAATGGTACTAGAATATGAAAGGAGTTAGCTCCTCTAGGGCAACTTTTCAAGGTTTCCACTCTGGGCTAATTTCCCCAGTATCCAAGGAGTTACTGATGTAAATGCGTATTGTTCCAGTGAGCTCCAACGCATTATACAGAGTGGATACCACAAATACTTACTGAAACATGCATAGGGTAGAATGTCAACTTTTACATGTGGTTCAGAAAATTAGAGGAAGGAGAGAAGCAAAACAGAGAAGACTGTAACCCACACTAAAGCACTTTAAAATTTTTTGGTGGCTGTGTCTGTCCTTATGAAATTCTCTTTTCTACGTATCCTCATCCTTACAGTGATGCTTACCGAGAACTATGTAACTGGGTCAGTTAATATAAGGATCAGATTTTGCTTCATTCATTTTGTACATATCATTTTTACACTTCATTTGGTCTTCTGAAGGTTGGTAACTCTGAATAGTTTTGGACCTGTCCTATGTCCTTTTATTTATGTAGCTAAAACAGACAAAGCAATCTGCAACAGCTGCATACGATACAGTGTTGTTGTCTTGTAACATTTAAAAAGTGTAACTTCTAGATTGCTGTGTAGGATTTCACATCACTATGAGTAAGTTTTATTTCTGTAGTTTTAAGATCAAATACAAATCTACCAGAAAAAAAATAGTAAGCTTTGCAAGAAACATGTTTGTTTAATTTTGCATTTACTATTTAATACATTGTAGGGTTTTTCCCTCTTGACAGATGGCAATTTAATTTCTGGATCCTTTAAAAAAAAAAAAAAACAACCCAAGCTGTTATGTCCAATGATTTAACATATTTCACTTTTCAAAATATTAGAGATGGGCCTAAGACAAAGTTTGGAATCAAGGACTTATGTTCCCAGAGGGTGTTCTGCTCCAAGGTTTTGGTTCAGGCCCATCTTTTCCTCTCGACTAGTATACATTTGAAAAGGATACTGCCAAATAAATCTCCTGTTTTGAAAAGTTAAGTATTACATGTGTTTCTAATAACACGTCAGATGGAGTAGCATGAAGTAATTTCAATTATTTTTATTATTTGTCTGTGGTTTTTGCTTCCTTTCATTTTGCTTAGCAAAACAGCTAACATAGAGTAGTCCATCTCCCTTCACATTTACAGTCAGCGAATCAAAGTGAAACTATCGCTAGCAAAAAATCCTTCCAGATACAAGTGAACGTCATTAAAAATAAATTACTTCTTAAATTACACAAAGGTATCTGTTGAAGTCCATTTTCTATTCCGTCTATCCTAAAAAAGAAAGCAGAAGCAATGAGATACAGAAAAGTCATTCAAGGTGCTAGGAACTGAAGGAGAAAGACCATACACAAGCGGAGGTAAGATTTGAGAAGGCACTGCTTACATCGTGATCACATGCTGCAAAGGGAAAACAGTTTTTTTTAAGAACTCAGCTTTGGATTAGTCCAGGATTCATATATCATGTCAGACAGCAACTAAATTAGAAAATGTTATCTGGAATAAATTAAAAGTATATGTTCAGCCCCAACCAATAGACATTTCTAATGAAAATAAAGGCAAATTAGTGGGAAATTGGAACTAAGCTACTCTAATTTTTTTCCTTTTCTGTTTTCAAATGTATTTTCCAGAGTGGATCACTAAAGGAGCCAGAGCCAAACAAAATCCCACCTCAGCGACCACCACCTCAAGGTTGTTTACAGTACATTCTCGACTGTAATGGCGTTGCAGTAGGACCAAAACAAGTCCAGGCTACTTAGACAATTGAGACTAAAAGCAAGGGTTAAAGCAAAAATAAAATTAAAAAAAAAGAGAAACACACAATCTTCAAAGCAAACATACCAGTTTTGTTCAAATTTTGCATTGTTTCAGTGCTGACCTGGACTGTGTTTTTTCTATGCAGTGTCAACTATACCGTCTGGTTGTTTACTTGTTCATGTCTGTGCGTGTAATGCTTACCTACCTTTCTCTGTAAAATTTGTGATTTCAGGGCTGTTGTCAACAGTGTACAAAGAATGTGCCTCTTTAGAGCCCAGTGCAACTGTACATTATGGATGGTTAGACAGTATTTTTTGAGTATTATATATCGTTAAGTAAAATACCACCAAGGTTCAAATCTAAATACTTTTGCTTACTTTGTGAGTGTGTGCACACTGTACTCATAGCTTTATTTTTTGTGCGTGTGCATGACTAATAAGCAGGTGATCCAGATATATTTTTAAAAGTCTAGATTAGAATTTGCTAGTGAGGCTATTTATTTATAATTTTATAAAGTTTGTTAACATTTGAGTTTTACTTATACGCAAGTGGAAGTCTAATATTTGAGTGACTCCATAAGATACAGTTCTTCCCAAGGAATATTTAAAATATCTTCTATTTTACATACTGGTATTCATATTTTTAGTAATTCTGCATTAAATTATTAGCTACAAAGCTATGTAAATGGGCCACCTATGTGCAATATCTCAGTGAAAGTGTGAGTATTTAATGTATCCTATTTCAATTAAGTAGTACCTTTTGTTGTCATTTTGAATTAGTAATCTATGGAGATTTTTAATGAAAACTAATGCAAATACTTTCAAAAACCTTATACTTACCTAAGAGTTAAATCCCAGGTTATTTGGTGAGAAGTACCTCAAGGACTGTTAAACTTCCTGTAAGAGCTCATTTTTTTCAAATACTGAGACGATAGGAGATGGTAGACCAAGGTACCTTTAACCAGCTAGGGATCCTGCCCGTTGATTAGAAGGCGAGACAAAAATGTCAGCGGTTTTCTTTACCAACTCAGGTCTACTATTTTAAACCAAGAAATAGCCAGATAGCTACAAAGAAAATTCAGTCCCAGCGTTATCCACATAAATAGGGTTTATGATAATTGCTTGAAATCAAACATGCAAAAAGACTTGAGATGCCCGACAACTGCTAGATTTTCTGTAAGTAAATTATTTGTGATTTTTGCATAACCAATGTATAATGCAATATTAGAAGAAATACACAGGCAGGCAGTTAATCTGTTGTGAGAAATCTAGCCTAGAATCACAAGCTACACACTGCTAGCATACCATAAAGCTTAGTTGCAAGCGAGCCACAAAACTATAATTTTAATCTTGAATATGTACAAAGATGAGTAGTGGCCATTAGTTTAGTGCAAACAATCTTGTTTAAAGGGAAAACAGCCTTATGTTCTACTTCTGTTTTCCCTACCAACACTAGAAA